CACCGATGTTAGAACAGCAAAGAAGTATGATCTGCCCAGAGGTGGTCAAGCTGGTGCTCCTGAAGCACATGGGCAGTTCAAGCATGACTTAGAAAAGCCACTCATGATCAGCAGCGTGGGCTGTCACGGGACTGCCAGAGAAGCCAACAGAGGGATTTCCATGGCAATGAAATGCTCAAAGAGTAAAAACGGCAACGGAGCAAAATCCTTCGCACAGAAAAGGTGTTTCTTCAAGGTCAGCAAGCACAACTGCTATGCAAAGTGTGGGCACTGCTCAGTGCACATCCATCACGCCTGAGCGTTCCCACACTGCAGAGAAAGATGTGGTTGTATTTCTGGGTTAGGCACGTCAAGAACTGCCAACCTGCATCCTGTATTCATCCCAAAGCCAGGCTCTCCTCCAGACCATAATCCATCTGCTTAAAGCATCTCTTCAGCCTAACACCAGCAGTGTTCAGCAGTTGTTGAACAAGTCAAGTAGTTCAATACTGTCAGTAGTGTTTTTGGTCCCAGAGCTATGTTCACTTTAGTTACCAATACTGATTAATCACTACCACAATTGGTGCATCCCAAGAGACAACCCTGGCTTTTAATTATTGTCATGCTTACAGAAGGGTAAACAGAGTCCTTAGCCTGAAAAATGGCTTGTCCAGGAAGCCACTTGGGAAATTACTGGGAAATGTGGGAATGGGTGCAGATCCACTGCAGCCTTCAGTCTCCAGCTCTAATCTACTTTAGCATCAACAAAAGACGCAAAGACCTAACCAATGAACAGATGCTTTTTCACTCATCGCCTGGTAGGTGCACAAAAACACGGGGAGAAATAAGCTCCCTGACATTTTGCTTGCACTGAAGTTAGACCGCTAACGACACATACACAAAGTCAAAACACCTCATGCAGTGCATACTGCATACTGGATGCCAACGGTTTCAGTCACAGCCGTGTGTGCCATCTGCCTTCTCCTCAGAGGGACAGAGGTTCCCGGGATGCTGAAGGGAACAGAAGACAAGTCTATGCTTTTCATTGTGTCTTACCCCTGTGAGGAAGCACAGGCTGGAAAAGGAGAAAATGGGAAATCTCAGTCCCTTTAAAAAGATCGCACTGGGAACTGTTTTGTCCTCAGATCACCCATGTCGTATCTATTGAGGAGGAGCTGGGTGAGAAAGGTCTAGGATCATGGCCCTGAATAAAGATTGGATTTCTACAACTGGTAGTTTTCTGTGACCTTGGACTGATGCTCTTCCAACCCTCCTTCTCTGAGGTGGAGCTATACAGCTCACTCACTTGAGTCCTCCCCACATCTGCAACCAGCTCGTGCTGCCAAAGTTGCCCAAACACCATCATCTTCAAAACTTCCATCTCTCTGCTCAAACTTGCACGTAAACAGACAGCTAGGATGGGGAAAGCGGGGAAACGCGCGTACAGAGCCTTCTTAATTTCTGCAGCACTATGCCAAAACTGTTGTGGTATATTGGCTTTTAAACTGCTGCCTTCAGTGCTCCCAGGAGGTGCTTCGGTTCTCAGCTCCTTAGCACAATGTGCAAGCAAGGCCTGACTACCTCTCCTCTGCCTCCTTGAGTACCCATATCCTCATATTTTTTTCCTCTGAATCCTGTTATGGATGTTTCCCTGGGTGTCTAAGCATTTCCATAGCCTGCTTCTCTTCTGCTATTTGCTGCTAAAGGTGTAGTGCTAAGAACAAAATCTGTATGCTGAGAACAAAATCTGTATTTTGGTGCACCGCTTGGCATCACCGTGCTCCATGCAGCAGCCTCTTGTTTTAAGAAGGGAACAAAGGGAGACCTGGTGAACTACAGGCCAGTCAGTCTCACCTCTGTGCCCAGCAGGACGATGGAGCAGATCCTCCTGGACACTATGCTAAGGCACATGGAAAATAAGGAGGTGACTGGTGACAGCCAGCATGGCTTCACTAAGGGCACATCATGCCTGACAAATTTGGTGGCTTTCTCCAAGGGGTTTACAGCATTGGTGCATAAGGGAAGAGCGACTGACATCATCTACCTGGTCTTGTGCAAAGCATTCGACACTGTCCCGCACAACATCCTTGTCTCTAAATTGGAGAGACATGGATTGGATGGATGGTCTGGTCAGTGGATATGGAATTGGCTGGATGGTCGCATTCGAAGACTTGTGGTCAATAGCTCAGTGCCCAAGTAGAGACAAGTGACAGGTAGCTTTAAACTGAAAGAGGGTAGATTTAGATTAGATATAAGGAAGAAATTCATCGCTGTGAGGGTGGTGAGACACTGGAACTGGTTGCCCAGAGAATTTGTGGATGCCCCATGCCTGGAAGTGTTCAACACCAGGTTGGACGAGGCTTTGAGCAACCTGGTCTAGTGGAAGGTGTCCCTGTCCATGGCAAGGTGGTTGGAACTAGATGATCTTTAAGGTCCCGTGCAACCCAAACCATTCTAGGTTTCCATGATTCTATGTTGGCCAGCTTTGCTCATTGAGCAAAGGATATTGAAAGAAACATATTTCTTTTGGCCAGACTGCTTGATGTTCTCCATGAAGCTGACTGGACGTGAGGAAGAGGTATCTGGAAAGAGGGAAGGGGCAATAAGAAATGAGGTGCAAATTAAGACAAAAAGTGAACATCCCAAACTATAGCCTGAAGCATAAAAGTTGACGTAGTTCAGTTTGGAAACTTTTCACTTCGGTGATCTAAACCCACACATGCAGAATATAATAACATAAGAAACATAGTACACCAATGTTGTAAAGCTTAAAAAAACCCTGGGTCATGTTGAAATGTTAATGACAAAGCTGATATATCGCATTTTGATTTTGTATGACCCCAACACATTCCCATCAAATCCGTAATCAAAAGTGGTGTGCTTTCTCAAAACACAAACACCTCTGAAACAAAATACAGCATCAACGTGTTTTCATCAGCCCTACTTACAGCATAGAAATATTAAACAAACGTATCCTTTCTCACCCTAAATATTGAACAGTGTATGTAGTACCAAAGAAAAAATCACCTTAATGAATTTTTTTATGTTTTAAACAAGGAGGGAAAAGTATCTTTCTTGTTTATTATTTTGCAGCTACATAGTTGTCTTAATTTGCAGAGCCAAGGCTTCCATGTAGCACAGTGAACCACTTGCATTATCTCACTTTACAAGTAGGGAAACTGAGGCACAAGGAACAAACTTTCTTTTCCCAAGGCCATTGAGTAAATGAGCAGCAGAAAGGATCAAAACCCATAGCAGCAGCAGTGCCCTGCTGTAACCACTGAGTAGCATCGCCTTCATTTAACACCGACCATTACCAGTTTGCAAATGCTACTGGTGAAAAAGACCTACTGAGTCCTTTTGCAGCTCCCTGTAAGTGCAAGCTTTTTCCATGCCATGTGCTGTAGACAAGAGTGCTTTATACAATTCCTACATTAAAATAATTCAAGCAGGAGGACATCTCTCATTTCCTCTGGGGGGAATAATCCTGTAGCTGAATAGATCGCAGCATTAGGAAATATTTCTTGATGTCCAGCCCCCTGCCACAGCTTCTAGTATCTGTTGATATATTACTAATAGAAAGGAAAATAAATATAGGTATTAAAGCCAGCAGACACTGTCTACTACTAATAGCTGCTAAAGTAATATATTCCCCTTGTTTTTAGCTTTTATTAGTCTTTTTGCAAAGGGTTACAAGACCCTTATGCATCCATTAGCCAGTCAGCCATAGGAAATTAATGTGGAGCAATTTTCATAAGCATTACTCAGAACTAATAATAATTAAGCATTATTTTCTGCTCAAATAACACAGAAAATAAAGCCTGACTTTTATGCCAAGATGGGTTTGCATTAGCTTAAGGTAGATGAATTAATTCTCATTTACAAGGTTTCTCCACCAGCTAGCCAGAAAATATCAAGGTAATTAAAACCAATTTGTGAGGTTCTCTCCCATTGCACATTCACTGAGTTTTGCCATTGCTGCAAATTACAGGTGCTTTTATGTTGTTGCAAAGGTGGGATATGAAGGAGACCTTGCTGCTTGCCTCCTTCCCATCACTTCTAGGAAAAGCAACCTCTTGTGAAGACTGAAATGCATTTTGCAATCCGCTTTGTTGCTGGAGAAGCAATGAAGGACCACGTGTTGCATGGAAGACCAGCTCAGTCCCAGCTCAAGGCTGGGATGTGGACCTCTCAGCAACGCTTGTAAAAGGCCTCTAACAGAGAAAAAAAATGCTGTTTGCTTTTGGTTTGCTATTACTTGCCAGGTATTAATTTTGGCTAATAACAAAGCCAAGGGACTTCTGTAGACAGCATTTTATGGATACTGCTCAGAAACAGTTCTCTTCAGCCAGCCAGTTTTTCTTCTGCTGCCTTTAACAACCAAAACCCAACATTTGCAATCCAGGTAAATAAGACTGATGAGCTACATGATGCTACACCTTCCAACACTGCCCAAAAGATCTCTTGATCTTTTTCTAGCTTAAGGAGACACAGAATTTGATGCGTAGTCATGTCCCAGCAGCTTGGCATGTCACCTGAGCAGCTACTGTGGTCTCTGAAGATGCTCTTAGCTTGGGCCAGCTGCAAGATAGAAGATACATTAGTTCATCTAATAACTAGCTGTAAGATACATGAACCCAGAGCTATCCTACCAACAGCTAAGATAATACGCAACTGAATAAGCTAAAACCTTTCTGAGGGTTTCAGCTTTCCAAGGGGAGCAGCTCCTTCAGATGCCACACCTTGACTTTGCATGTGAGCTTAGCAAATAACTGGGCTTGATGTGACCCACCAGTGTGGAAAATCTGTGTTTTTCAGAGGATTATGGCTTTTCTTGTCTGTGTCCTGGCTCTCTCATTTAATCTCTCTGGCCTCTCCATCACTCCCCTGTCTCACTGTGGTATCTCATTTTGGTGCCTGTGTGCACGTTAGTGAGAAGGAGCAGGTTGACCTGAGACACAACTATATAAAGAAGAACAAGATGGTAGTTCTGACTTTTATTATGTTTTGAAAAATCTTCTCTAGAATAATCCAAATGCTATCAAAGAGATAAATAAAAGGAGAGAATACTCAAGAAACACCAGCTGTGTCTCAGCCCTGGAAGGAACTACCCCGGCATTTGCAATGTTATCCACACCTTCAATGAAGAAAGGTTTCCCCCTTACGGCTGTCTCAGTCTCGATCCAGTCACGGTAGCTGTAAACAGACATCAAGATCTCATGGTTCGGCTTTTCTGCACAATCTTCTCCCCAGCTGACGATGCCAACCTGAAACCACTTCATGGTGTTCCAGTAGCTGCAAACCAGAGGTCCACCACTGTCCACCTGCGGCGTAAGGAGGATGTTATAGCAGGATCAAACCTCAGGTCCCTCATAGCAGCTGCATCCCACAGGCTGATGGGGAAAATCAACTCTATACCAATTGGATTTGGGGGATTTGAGGGAACAAGGAAATTTTGGACTCAAAATTCCACAGCTCAGCCCTGAGATCCCTGCAGAATAAACAGATACAGAGGTAAGAAGAGGAGAGCGGTCCCAAGCTCTGGCTCAGTGCAATGCCCTGTCCTTCTCAGCCTTTTCTACATGCTCCCCTGGTCCCAGAAGGATACCTGAATCCTGTCACCAAGAGACAACATCCAGGAGTGAAAAGGGACATTTGCTGTGACTGCTCATTCAGTCCTTGACGACTCTGCGAAACTGGCGCAGCATAGGTGTTGGGTACCTGCCACTGTTAATTTGGGAGGCTAGCTCCAGGAACTGGACGAGAGTTGAACGCTAATCCTGACACACCCACACACAACCTTCACTCACCCAGTGCATGCAAGCCTTCAAACGCGCATTGCAGCCACCCTGCAAAGAGGAACGTCCTTCTGTTGGCTGATGTAGCTTGAACACCGAGGGCATGTCCAGTTGCCCGTGTGATCTCTGTGTGCAATCTCTGAACACAACTCGAGGGAGAAGAGAAACCAGCACAAAATCCACCCAACCAGGTACAACACTTTTCCGACAGTTATGTACATCTTAAGTGCTGCGCAGTCCCTGCTCTAAATAAGATAGTTTCCTTCCACAGTGGGTTTGAATCTTTTTTTCCACCCTATCTCCAGTATTTCAGGTGGCAAATAAGAAATTCAGTACAAACCCATTTCCTGAGACAGCCAGCTTTCCTGGGAAATGTCGTCCTTCCCTCTTTGTACGCTACTTTGAGAAATGTCTTTGTCATCAATGTATGAACCCCCTTCCGCCAGCAGCTACCCTGAGCTAACAGACGTTAATTAATGACTAAGGAAATGGCTGTAGTCCCCTGTGCAACTCATCAGCACCTGCTAAAGTTTGTGGCAGAATTCCTACTCACTTTATTACATGGAGGGTCCAGGTCTATAATATGTTTATCTTTTGTTTGTTGGTTTGTTTGGGGTTTTTTTATATGTTTATTTTTGGTTCAACATGCACACAGGAGGGAAAAATGAAGATAAGTATAGAGCAAATGTTGCTTCAGCATTCATAGAATCACAGAATCACAAAATCATTTAGGTTGGAAAGACCTTTAAGATCATCAAGTCCAACCACAAATTCACTTCTGTTTGCACTGACATGGTGTTACTGTAGCTACATGTCTGCCTCTCAGCCAGTGCTGCTGGACCTTCTTCAGACTCAGGATCTAAAGACACTTCCCGACCCTGTTTCAGCCAAGAATTTGCGTGAATCGCACAGGTGACCTTGCCGTGACCTTGGATCCATGCATTATCAGTGTCCTTGGCGATGGCATCCTGTTTGAATGAATGAACATCTCCTCGGCTCACGCACAATTAAATTACTGGGAATTTTACTGCTAATTCCCACAGGGCAAGAACAGGCCAAACATATTATCCTGGTAGCGAAAGGAAGGCGCTTCGAGCCTCCTACACAAGGATCATAAATGAAGTGGAGAGAGTGGGAGCCGTTCACGAGCCAGACCAGAGCAGAAGGAATTACGAAAAAAAAAAAAAAAAAAGAGGGGGGGGGGGGGGGGGGCCGGGGGGGGAGCCAGTGACGCAGCAGCGGCTGATGGTCCCTCATCGGAGATATGTCGGGATGCGTCGTGCCGGCTTTTCCTGGTACGGGGGATTTTTAGCACTGCACACCATCGGGGCAGATCGGTTTCCGTGTCCAATTTGGAGGCTGTTCACACTTGCACAGGACCTTTCTCCCGGGGTGCTTAAATACCAGTTAATTCCTGATACCTTGTGACGGTCCTTGGGGGGAAGACTCTTACCGTATTTCATAGCTGAGAAAACCACAGCAGAAAAAGGATGTGACTTGCACGAGGCAATGGCAGAGCCAGGAATCCCTATTTAAACTGTACATCACGTGGTTTTCCTTTCAAATCAGATCTGCTTTTCCCTCTTTGCCTCTTTAATCATGTTCATTTTGTTCTCTGCCCGGTCGGCGAGGAAAGGGAGAGCTGTCTGCGGGGCTTGGGGCACCGTCGGCTGTGGAAAGCGATTTAAAACCCGGGCAGAGAGGGAGTTAGGCAATGCTGTGAAAACCCAGGCAGCAGCTGCAAATCCATTTCGCTAATCCACAAGCCCTGAGACCCAAATCCTGCTTCAGATCCCTTTCCACATGGGCTGAGCTGGTCTGCTTCACGTGTGAAACTTCTAACACGCCATTTCTCTTAACTTCAGCTATTTAACTCGATTTTATCACAAAGTGGGCTAAATCATCCTCTCCGTGTGATAATCTCGCTCAATTATAGCAGTAGCCCAGATGAATCACTAGCCTGGTTTTCACAGGGCTAAAGACAGAGAAAATAAACTCAGTTCTTGGACACTTCTGAATATCCCTGTATCCACCTTAAGCTCTCAAAAATGTTGGCCCAAGGTTTTGCATCCTTGTGTAGGAGAGGGTGTGGGAGGACTGAGTTTTGAGCACTGGTACAATTATCTCAGCTCTGTGATGTTTCCAGTAACACTAATTTAATTAGCTCAGGTTAACGACTCTGAAGATCGAAGAACTTATTAAATGCTGCTTTCAGCCTCCTGTTTCCTGGTGGTGAAATACTTCTGGTCAGCAACACACACCAGATACCTGCTCTTGCTCTTCAGTCTGAGTGCCAAGTTTCTGGACAGCAAAAAACCTAAAAATAGCATCTTTGCTTCTGTTGCGTGTCTCTTGTCAACTAGATGTTTCTTTTCAAATAGGAGATGAGTGAAAAGCAACCACATCAAATCAGATCTGGTGCTGAATTCATGCCTTCCACAACTGCATGTTAATCCTCCCGTTAGGAGAGGTGACAGCAATGATGTATTTGTTGATAAATAGTTCTGGCTTGTATAAAGATTGTCATCGACTAACAAGGCGCTTTGTTCACTGAAGCTGATCAAAAGTTTCATCCTTTTCAGCATGGCCAAAGCCTTTTTGTGAACATCAGGAGCCTTTCTGCTGACTTTAGTGGGCTTTGGATCAAGAGCGTAATCTTTTTCCTTTCATATTTGTAGTTGTGTCTGCAACATGGTAATTGATCAGAACAAACACATTCAGCCACATAAATCTTCTTAAGTGGGAGAAGCTCTAGGGGAGGGAGAACAACCTATCTGATACTCATTAGGTGGATACACAACCCTTGCAAGTCATTGCTGGTTTCATTTTCATGTTGGTAAGCTCTGTGTAAATTGGAGACAATCAGCATGTGAGTAACACCACGGCCATTAGAGCTGCCCTGGCTGCAGGAAGGAAAGGCTTTTGCAAACAGATTATTTCTTCAGTCATTTCACTGTGAACAAGCTGTCTTTAGAGAAAGGTGGAAGGAAGGCAGCTATGGCCATTTTTAGCATGCAAGTATCGAAGATGAACCAGGCAACACAGGGCACCTGGAGTCCTTTCATGGGATCCCTTTGAGGTCTCAGGCAAGAGCCTTCAGCTACTCTGCCCCTCCTTCCCCTTGATGGAAAACGGGAGAACAAGACCGTGTTACTCCATCCACACAGATGTAAGCAGGGTCCGTTAGTAACTATGGTGGCACGAACTTAAAGGCAGTTACAATGCACCTGGCCAAAGACCCATGTGGCCCAGACTCTTGTCGCTGACAGTCATCTGTAGCAAGTGCTCAGGGAAGGAGAATGAGAAACTGCAAGTATTTACAGAGTTGTATTTACATCACCGTGGTTAATAGCCTTAGAGAGATCTTCATCCAGGAAGTTATCTAATTGCTTTTTGAATCCATTTATCCCTTAGGATAAATACCCACAACATCCTGGTCAGTGACTTCCATAGTTTAATTATCTGTTGGATGAAAAAACACTTCCTTCTCTTTGTTTTAAATCTGCTGCCTGGTATGGCCATCTGACACCCCCTCCTTTATGTGTTTTGAACAGCAGTGACAAGGGGAGAGCTCTTGACTGTCCCCTCCTTGCTGCTCATGACTTCAGAAATCTGTGTCATATCCCCATCAGACAATTCTTTTACAAGCCTCAGAGTCCTGCTCTGTTATTCCTCTTTCTGCCACAAGCCATTCCGTGTCCCTGTTCATCCTTCCTACTCTACTCTTCTCCTTTTCTGAAACTACTACTCCTTTCTCAGATGGGGTGGATGGGAATTGCACGCAACATGTAAGCTTCCAAGTCTAGTGCCCTGGCATAACAAGCATTTGCTTTGCTAGCTGTTCCTTTCCTAATAATTCATAACGCTCTCATTGCCTTTTTGATGTCCACAGAGAGTCGTGTTGATGTTTTTGAAGGACTATCCACAGTTACTCCAAGATCTTCTTACATGGCAATAGCTAATTTAGAGCCTATTATTGCATGTGTACAGGTGAAGTTGCTTCGCCCTATATTCATTACTTTTCCTTCATCAACAGTGAATTGCATCTGCTGTTTTAACTTCCGGTCACTCAGAATAATGAGATCCTGATGCACCTCTGCACAATCAGTTTTAATTTTGACCACTGAATGGCATTGGCCAGCTTGGTCATCTCAGCATTCACCCTCCTTGAACATCACAATTCCTTGCACAAATGCCAACACAACTCCCTTTGTGAGACCCTTCTCCCATCAAATCCTTCCTCCATGTTGCCTCCTGTTCAAACCAAAGCCCTTCTACTTCATGACAATTCAGTTTCTCCATGAGACTTTGGTGAGAAATCTCATTAAAAGAGTTTTGGAAATCTCAGCGTGTTATATCAGCTGGATCACCCTCTGCCACATGCTTGTCCTTCAAAGAATTTAAATCTGCCTGTGAGTCATGACTTCCCCTTAAAGCCGTGTTGACTCACTCTAATTGAATGAGAAACGGCTCCTGAGTCATCACATCCATTCCCCCACTGCGAGGGCAAGCACAAAGTAGGTTTT